CACCGGCTGGCTGGTTCGCTCTGTAAGTAAGGCTTTTCCCTATTAAATACCCTTATATTTCTACCTCACTCCGTATTGGTAATTACCTACTACATCTGGTGTCAGAAGTGGGATAAGATGAGACGTGCCCTGGAGTACACCATCTACAACCAGGAGCTCAATGAGACTCGGGCCAAGCTTGACGAGGAAAAATGATGTCATGAATCTTCTTGAAAGTGCTGGGTTTTCTCGAAGTAATCCCTATTACATTGTTAAACAAGGAAAGATCAACCAAATGGCAACAGCACCAGACTCTCAGAGATTAAAGCTGCTCAGAGAAGTAGCTGGTACTAGAGTATATGATGAACGCAAAGAAGAAAGCATTTCTCTAATGAAAGAAACAGAGGGCAAATGGGAAAAAATCAACGAGCTGTTAAAATACATTGAAGAGCGGTTGCACACTCTGGAGGAGGAAAAAGAAGAGCTGGCTCAGTATCAGAAGTGGGATTACAGTCAGGCTCCAATTATGCATCATTTTAAGATAATTCTTATGAAATTGCTTAGTCTTATCAATCAATGAGCTCTAGTTTAGCCCCAGATGAGATCTGTATTTTTTCAAAGACATACTAATTTATTAAAAAATGAACGGTAGTCTTCTGTTAAGAAATAAATTTTCTTTTATGTTCTAGTTATTTTTAAAATGAGATTTTACTCCTATGTGTTAAGTAATATAAATAAAACCAATATTTTTATGCTTTTCCATTTTACTGAAAAGTCCATATCTCATTGACTTAATTACGGTTTTCTGATCACTTCCTTCCTTCAAACCTCCCCTGCTCTACCTTATTTATCTTTGAAGTTTGATGTTTTAGTACTAAGGAAGGCTTGTTTTGTCACTTAAGAGAACTTTACTGAACTGTTTTTTAAAACTGTATGTACATATGCATAGTCTTTCTACCCTTGCCACTTCCTACAAAGAGCTTTACCTCTTTGAGTCATAAAAATAGAAGCATAATATTTAATTGGAAAGACCATGAAGTTACCTGATTGTACACAATAGTATGTAATGTTTAAGAAACCACCCACCTATCTTAAAAAATCTTTAGAGCACTTGTCAACATTTTTGTGCATAACTACCATCACAGCAAATCTCAGGTTACAAATAGTGTCTTGTGGGGAATGGTACAGATTAATCTCTTGTCTTGGCACCATGGACTCCATCATAACTGCTTTTCCATATCTTGTAACATTACTAACTTAAAGTTGTCTACATGATAGGGTAACTGATATGAGCATGGAATGTCATCCCAACAGAACTGGGAAGGAGGGCAAGGGCTTGCTGAGAAATAGAATGATCACTTAACATTACTGAGGGATATAAAAGAAAGCAATTTTGAAAGAGAGATGGAGAGGAAGAGGGAGAGGGATCTTAATATCATTATAAAGGACCAAATATTCCTTGAACTTCCATATAGTACTCCTATATAGTCTCTCTGGTTCTTCAAGTAAATTTCAAAGGAATAATGTTTGATTTTAATTGTTCATTACTATTTTATCTACAGTGATAATATGTGCGAGCCCGATATGGTACTGAGTGTCCCAATCATCTGTGTTTATTTAACCTTCTTTGCTATTCTAATCAATTCTGAACTCTACAAACACTCAGATTAATACAATTCCTTTTACTTATAATGATGTACTCTGTGTCAAGCATCTCTTTGGATCCCATGTCCCAAAACAGCTGGAAACTTAACCCAAGATCTAACAGGCTACATATGTATTTTCTCTGCTGAACTATTTTTCCATCCCTTACCCTCAAGATTCAATTTTGTCTCTGAATTTGTGTTTTCCGTTGATTTATTAACCAATTGAATATCTTAATATTTCTTTGAATCATAGCAGCATAGCATGTTAAAATGTTCCCTAATTGCCCATATGACAATCCTGTTTTGATGAACATGGATTGTGTACAGGCATTTGTATAATTTATGAATAAGTGGTGAATTAATATCCACTAACATTTTGTAGACATGTCTCCCTTTCTTCTTGTAAGTATACCTGCAGGTGCTTGTGAATAGTAAGTATGTGAAATAGAATGACATTGGCCACCTAGAGAAACTTGATGGGAGAATGAGTAAGAGAATTAGAAAGGGTACTTTGAAATACAGCTTCCTAGTGTTTTCATACAATTTTAGCTTTATAACCTTACATACCAGAATGCTCTTGATAGTTGTCCCATAAGAAAGATTTTAAAAATCTGATAATTTATAATGAATAATAAAAGTAAGAAGAATCAGCCAGGCATTGGTGGTGCACGCCTTTAATCCCAGCACTCGGGAGGCAGAGACAGGTGGATATCTGTGAGTTCAGACCAGTCTGATCTACAAGAGCTAGTTCCAGGACAGCCTCCAAAGCCACAGAGAAACCCTGTCTCAAAAAACCAAAAAAGAAAAAGAAAGAAGAATCAAAATAGAGTTGTGAAAATGAAATATGAATTTAGCATTAACAGCAGTGAAATAAAAGCGCTGAGTGGAAATTGTTTTCCAAATATGTTATATAAACTTTTTCTATTTGTTTTCAAATAATTTTATACATTTTAGTATAAATAGGCAATAGACTACATAAGCAAGAGATTACATCACTGTCTCAGTTCTGTTCTCAAGCTATGATCTTCTCATGAATTAAATGATTTTATGGATCAGAAATGGGGTCTGATGATCAAAGAGTGTCAACTTAATTTTTTTAATTTTGCATATTAAATGATTAATGGCATCTACTACAGCTTGTTAGGTTTATTTCAATTGATTTTTATACTTAATAAGGATCTCAAATTAATCTAGGGATATGGATATTCTTATTACATTCAAAAAAAAGAATAACCTCACTGTATCCCATATCTCCAATTTGCACTACAAACATACAATTCAACACCTTATAACTCACCACAGGAAGCAAAACAAAGCACAAAATTCTCATCCATTGGTATTGTAAGTTAGTGTACCTCTGTGAGTCCAGAGGCCAAAACAAATAATTCTAAAGAAAATATAAATAAATCTTAAATACTGGAATGCCCTAATTGCACATATACTTTTGGTAACTGTTATATGTGTATTGATATTTATAGCAGTTCTTTGGCTCTGATAACTTTCCTCTACTCTATTTCTTTGGGGATTAGGAAAATGAAATTAAATATCTTTTAGCTGTCTTTTCTTGAGGCTATATTTCACTATCTCCTTCTGTTTCCCCATAAATCCTACTCCCCTTCCCTTTAATTATGTTGTTGCTCTCTTCTGGATTCTTAGTAATTAACATGAGATGACTAAATTAAATTTCAGTTGTTATGCCTAAGTTTGTATGTCCCACAGTATTGTATTAATTGACCTCATACCTCAGGCTCCCTCCTTAAGTGAAAAAGAATATGTTGGCATTTGGACAGATTGGCAGGCAAGAGATTAGAATGGAAAAGATGAGAATAACAGCATGCACCATCCCTGCCCAACTTGCTGGAAGAATTTTAAGAATCATGACAAAAGATGGGATTTTTTTTCTCTAGAGAATGCTATCTTTAGTCATCATATTGGCCTCAAACTTAGTTTAATGATCAAAAAATTTACTCAGACATTTCTCAGTATACCACCTATTGATTTAAAATATATTTACTTATTCTTCTGCAAAATTATTGTAAAGTGAAATACAAATGATTAATACATTAAATCCTCTGACTTTTCATCTGCAGGGAAAGTTTTCTTTGAAATTTACTTTTAAACTTTCCCTTCAGATTTTATCTTCAGTTGGTTGGTTGGGTTTTGCTTTTATGAGAGATGGTTCCTTGTAGCATGGGCAGTCTTCAAACTTTCTATTTAGCTGAAAATGGCCTTGAGTTCTTTATTCTCCTGCCTCCACGTCTAAGTGCTGGGATTAAGGTTAGGCAGTACTACACCTGACTTTCCAAGTTGTGTGGAAGCATTTTCTCAGATTTAAAATTATTGTCTTACTGTTGGTTCCTCTGGGTTGTAGGAATTTTGGTTACTTGAAGGTATTTGATTTTCAGATATTTGTCCAATGCAAAGCACAAAAATAATCCATAAGCAGACCTTAATAAGAGCAAATTTTATGCTGAAAGTGGACTCATCTGATAATACAAATTTCTTATCATTACCTGATTGAAAAAGAAATTTGTTTCACTAACTACTACTACTACTACTACTACTATTATTATTATTATTATTATTATTATTATTATTATT